AGTACCGGCTGGTCCAGAGAAGGATGAAGGCTTTGAGGAGCCAGCAGCTGTGGGGAAGGTGACCCTACACCCCCTGGACTATTGGGTGATTGATAGTGGCGCTACCTATAGCATGACACCTCGCCCGGACTTGCTCACCGAACTCGAGCCGTCACCGGTGAAGCATGTCACATCGGCTTTGGGGCAGCGAGCAGAGGTGAAAGGCATGGGCAAGGCCATGTTCAAGGGTGCTGATGGGAAGATGGTGGGCCTCAAGAACGTGCTTTGGGTGCCCAGCCTTGCTGCAAACCTGATTTCCGTGCGGCGGTTGGCAAAGGCCGGCATGGACACGAACTCGAAGGGAGCCAAGACCTACACCGCAAGGCTTGGCGATCGAATTCTTTGGGACCTTCATGAGGACAGGGATGTCTACAACGAGATGTGGCAGATCCCAGTGGTCCCTATGCCTAAGGAGAGGCAAGTGGCAGCAAGCATCAGCACCAAGGATGGAGCGGTCGGTAGCGACGATGGCGCGAACGGTCGCGCTAAGGAGAATGAGCTCAAGAAGAGCAAACCTGGAGGGACCAGCAAGTTCAGTGAACCTAAGGAGAGTGGTGCAGCAACCAAGGAGCAGCAAAAGGGTGAGGAGAACCCAGAGGCAGCAGCGGAGGAGGACTACGGAGAGAGTATGTGGGGCGCTATTGCGAGCGCGGCATTCTCCAATCCAACTTCGGCTACGGGGGAGTGTGATTGGCTCACCTTGCATCGGCGCATGGGGCATGTGGCCCTGCCCATCTTGCAGCAGCTAGTGAAGAATGAGATGGTTGCTGGCATACGTGTGAAGGGGGAGCCCGATGAGGTGCTTGGCTGCCCGACGTGCATTCAAGCCAAGTTCACCCGGTTTCCGTTCCCTAGTTCGGAGGCAACGGCAAAGGCACCGCTTGACGAGGTGGTGATGGACGTGGTGGGCCCCCTGAAGCTTGGAGCTGCTGGAGCTGAGTATTTTCTCACCATTGTCGACGTCTACACCCGCATGACTTGGGTGTACGTGCTGGCCAAGAAGAGCGACGTGGCTGAAACGTTGAAGACGGATTGGTTCCCGATGGTGGAGCGGCAACAAGACCGTCTAGTCAAGTCAATCCGCACCGATCGAGGGGGAGAGTTCCTGAGCAAGGAGTTTGGGTTGTGGCTGAAGAAGAATGGTATTCGGCACTCCCTCACCATGCCATACTCCCCTGCAATGAACGGCATCGCCGAGCGAGCGAACCGCACAATCACGGAGGCGGCACGCGGGTTGCTCATTGAAGCCGGGCTACCCGACTATTTCTGGCCTGATGCGGTGCGGAGCGCGTGTGTGGCCAAGAACAGAGCCTTGACTCATGTGGGAGCAGACAAATGGGTGCCCTATGTGGAGTGGCTAGGAAGGAAGCCAAAGGTGGATATGCTTCGGGTGTTCGGGTGCATGTGCATGGCGCTCGTGCCTAAGCATCTTCGGCACAACAAGCTTGGTGCCAAGGCGGTGTGGGCCGTGCACTTGGGCATGGCTCAAAACAGCAAGGGATGGCTTCTTTGGGACCCATTCACCAAGAAGTTCTTGGTGAGCAGGGACTGCAAGTTCATGGAGAACTTCATGTACAAGGATTGGAAGGCGGAGAATGAGGCGAAGATAGGCGTGCGGTTTGGGGAGGTGAAGAGTTCCGGTTTGGAGCATGTGGAGCTGCCTTTGGAACTGAGCAGCGGCAGCACAACCACAAGGCAATCCTCCCTTGTGAATGGGGGAGAGGAGGCCAATGATGCAGAGGAAGAAGAGGAGGAGGTGCAGCAAGTGAGCGAGCGTGCACCGTCACTTCCTTCCCGTACTACGAGTGCTCCACGGATTCGAGCCACACCGCAGCAATGCCAAGGCCTTCAAGTCCCTGCAGCTGAGGAGGAAGGAAGGGGGAAGAGGAGAGTTCAACCCCCTAATAGGCTGACCTATGATGCGCCGGGAAAGCAGGGCAAGACAGCCCTGGCCGGAGCGGCAATGATGGTCGGAGACGACGAGGAGAGTGACTACGAGGAGTGTGCCTTCGCGTTCTTCTCTCCGGTGGAGATGCCGGGAGAACCAGCAACTCTCAAGGAGGCTTTGGAGAGTAGTGATGCTGAGGAGTGGAAGAAGGCCATGGAGAGTGAGCTGAAGAGCATCGAGGAGAATGACACGTTTGAATTGGTGGAGCTACCGGAGGGGCGTACGGCGATAACGTCCAAGTGGCTCTTCAAAATCAAGTCGGATGCCGACGGCAAGATCGAGCGCTACAAGTCTAGGCTTGTAGCCAAGGGGTACCAGCAGAAGGAGAAGGTGGACTTCAAGGAGCTGTTTGCCCCTGTGGTGAAGCCGACGACGCTGCGAACCCTATTCGCGGGAGCCGCCATCAAAGGATGGGTAGTAAAGCAAATGGACATCGTAACGGCATTCCTTAACGGCATCCTTGAGGAGGAGAATTTTATGGCGCAGCCAGAGGAGTTTGATGATGGTAGTGGCAGAGTGTGGAAGCTGAAGAAGGCCCTCTATGGGCTGAAGCAGGCCCCTAGGCAATGGTACATGAAGCTGCGCGAAGTGTTGGAGGGGATCGGCTTCACTCCCTCAACGGCCGATCACTCCTTGTTCATGCTTGGCGAGGGGGAGCAGAGGAGTTTCATGGTGGTTTATGTGGATGACATCCTCATTTTCTCACCCTCTTCTGACCTTGTGAAGGAGGTGATGCTGAAGCTTCAAGACAAGTTCAAGTGCAAGGCCCTTGGTGACGTGAGCTTCTACCTTGGGCTCCACATCGAACGAGATGTGGAGAAGCGGTGCATGCGGGTGCATCAACGAAAGTACCTGGAGGCATTGGCTGCCAACTTCGGGCAGAGTGAAGGCCATGTGGCTACACCCTTTCCCTCTGGGTTCAAGTGTGTGAAGGGACCAGAGGAGGAGAGCGTTGGTGAAGAGGAGAGGCGCCGATTTCACTCGTTGGTGGGCAGCCTCATGTATGCGGCGGTAAACACCCGACCGGACGTCGCGTTTGCTACCGGGCAGCTGGCTAGGGTTGTGCAATGCCCTAATGAGGAGCAGGTAGCAGCTGGAATGAGGGTGGCCAAGTATCTTGGCCAAACACCGACCGTTGGGCTGCAATACTCGGCGGCGGCACAAAGGCGCCAAAAGGGCGCGGATGGTGTTGAACCCGGGCGTTTGTTCCTCACCGCCTACTCGGATGCTTCATATGCATCAGAACCAGAGGACATGACAAGTGTGGGAGGCTTCATATGCTGTGTTGGTGGAGGCCCAACTGCTTGGGAGAGCAAGAAGCAGGTTGACCAAGCTTTGAGCTCGGTGGAGTCCGAGTATATGGCACTCTTCCGTGCCGTACGGGAGATTGTGTGGCAGCGGCGTTTGTTGGCTGAATTGGGGGAGGAGCAGCAAGGACCTACCCCACTGTACTGTGACAGCCAGGGTGCCATTGCTCTTGCTAAGAACCCTGTGTTGCATGGACTCACGAAGCACATGAGGGTGAAGTGGCATTGGACGAGGAGCATGGTAACCGCGGGTGAAGTTGAGTTGCGCTACGTGAAGACCACGGGGCAGCCGGCTGACATGATGACCAAGAGGCTGGTGGAGCAGCAGCATTGGAAGTGTTGCAAGCTGGCTGGGATGGCTCTGAACTGAGAGAGCAACATATCCTAAGGCCAACAATCCGAGGGGGAGTTTGTTGGTGCAACCCTACGGTTTGCACTCGGCTTGTTGTCCGTGTGCGTGAATGTGTGTGTGTATGGAATGGTATGAGGGCATGGGATAATATATATTTCATGCTTATAATTGTGTGTGAATGTTGAGTCATGATGTCGAGTGTGTGTGTCGAGTCAATAGCGAGTTATCGCTAGACGCGTGTTACGCGGTCGTTTGTGTCTCGCGCGCGGTTTCTATTTTGTCGTGCGCGGTTTCTATTTTGTCCTGTGTCGAACGTTCGGCGTGTCGCAGGTGTGTGCAGCAGACCCATCAAGAACTCAATGATGAGTTTGTGATGAAGAGCCCGAGCCTTGGTGTCAAGCCTCAAGTGATTTCGAAGCTTGCCAAAAAGGTACACCTCAAGGTATTGAAGATAGTTACATTACTTTGTGTAGTGTAACATTTCACTTGGTGTAGGCCCTAGTGAAGGGTAGTTTCGAGACCCTTCGTGGTTGGGGACAGTGTGGCACTGTTCCACATCACTGTACCTCGGCTCTTGGGGTTTGTAGGAGCTGGGAGTCATTCCCAACTCGTAACTCTTCCTATCTTGTGTTCTAAGACTATAGTGGCTGCCATAGTACCGTTCGTTCAAACCGACGCTGTGTCGTCAATTCTTTATCAAATCGTGCAATCTAAATTTCTAATTGTAGACGACGTGAAGACGCTCTAGATCCAATTTGAATCAAGTCATTTGCAGCTGTGAGCAGAACGCTATCAACGTTTGAAGCCGCTGTGCAGAAATCCGTCTGTGCTCTCTATCTTTCGTTTTAGGCACATTCAAGCCTATTGTGACTATAACACCTTCTCCCCTCGTCGACCCCCCTCTACCTCTGGAAGGAGGCGAGCTTTGACTCGTTGTTAACAAAACATTTTCAAAGTCCCAGAAGTGGGTATTTTCGTGTAACGATTCCAGATCAGCCCACCCAAGTCGCCTATTTCCAGATTATGTGACACAAACTGACAAAACCCAATCACACTCGTCCTCGTGCTGACTTAGTCGCACTTAGAGCGGCACTTGTTGGCCTTCTTCTTGCACCTCTTGTACTTGTGCGTGCACTTGTGGTGGTCGTGCTCGTCGTCCTTGTTCTCCCGCTTGCACTTGCTGTAATCCGTGTTGCACTTCTTATTCTTCGTCTCGCAATCCGACTTGCACGATAGAATGCGGTGCGTCTCAGAGGACCATAGGAACCTCCTGGTCCTCCCGAAAAGCTTGCTCAGGAGATCTATCGTCGGGGACGGGAAAGCATAAAACCGTGATTAGCAGGAATTGACGAGATTACCACCCTCGCCGGGCGGCAAGGAGAGAAACGACCATGGGGAGCTTCTTAAGAGAATTTCCTGAAATCTCCAACGTACCAGGAGGCGACGCGGCGGAATCCACGCTGACGTCATCCAACAAATCATCGTCGGCGTCGTCCTCAGCATCGATCTCATTCGCGCGGCACGGCTGCGTCAGCGAGTGGGATACGACGAGCGAGAGGGCGAGGAGGACCAGGAGGACCTTGGAGCGCCTCATCGCTACGGCGGCTGCTGGACGGTCGGGGGAAGGTGGAAGCGCCTTTGGTAGATCTCTATGAATCGGGGAGCAGTGGAAGCTTCGGTTACTTGAATCGCCTCGGGCTCTTGGCTTTTAAAAGAACATTGGGCAGCACAGCCGTGAGTAGCGCGAAGAGAGAGGTAAGGTGGATTCGGCTTGGATGGTCGGTGATAAGGTAAGTGCGGTACCATGTTGGTCGGTGTGTTGAGCTGGGCGAAAATCGCAAGGGGCCCATGTGTGACGGAGAGTTTGACGAGGCAAGGAGGATGCGTGAGGTAAACGTACGAAACGTGAGGTGAGTGAGGAGGATGTATGTTGGAGGGCTTTCGTGCGAGGGAGATGAGGGGGTTGGGTTTGTGGTGGTGGGGATGGGTGGTATGGTATGGGTGCGTGCGAGGTGTGCTTGGAGCGAACAGAAACGCGAAATCGAACCGCGATCGGAGACGTGGATAGGTTATAACGCGGCGCGTTCCCGATGCGCTAATGCCCAACCAGTCGAGCCATTCAAACGAGTTTTATTATAGAGAAAAACCATATCTAAAAAGGACATTGTTACCAGTTTAAGATCAGTAATTATGCATGATAATGATAAATGGTGATGATATATCTGACATTCAAATAGCAATCATGATTGCATCTGCGCAAACCCGTGACAGAGCGTCCGTCCGAGTGATTACACAATGTAAAATTTCTGCAACTTGAAACATGAAGTCCATACGTAGGACTTCTTACAGTGACAAGAGAAACAAAATTCAGTCAGGGTTCATATGCACATGCCTCAACGAGCCTTGTGTTACGTGGCTTCTGGCTGCTAGCTGCTCGTTACACCTCCCCCATATGCCCCTCCATCCGCCTTCACGAGCTCCAAGCATCTGGCCACCAGGCACAGCGCTGACTCCACTTCCATCCATCCGTCTCCCCAACGGTTGCCTTGAAATGCCTCAGTGTGAGTCTTGTGTCATGTGGCTACTGCCGAGACATCCCCTCTACACGCCTCCATCTACCTCCAAAAGCTCCAAACATCGGGCCACCAGTGACAGCACCGTCTCCACTTCCATCCACTCCTGCTCCCATCCAATCCCACTCCCACCTGCACTTCAGTACCCTGAACACAACCATAGACTTCTACACACCTACGTCAGCCTCCACAAGCTCCAGGCATCTGGCAACCAGTGACAGCGCCGTCTCCACTCCCATCCACTCCTGCACCCATGCTTGCTCCTCCAGGGAATCTGCCCCCTCCTCCCCATCCTCCTCATCCTCCTCCTCATCCTCATTCCCTCTCCCCCTCTCTTCATTCCCACTCGTGCCTGTTCCCAAGTCCCTCTCCCCTCCATGCCCATGTTTCCCGTGCCCACACCCTATCCCCCTACCCTTCCCTGCTCTACCAGCCACCCGTGGTCTCCTGGATTCGAGGGATTCCCGAGCGGCGAGGGCGGAAGAGCGCAGAGGCAGCAGCCAGCATTTTCGGGCGCGATACAGGCTGGGCTTGGTGCGGAGCGATGTGGGGGAGAGGAGTGAGTGCGGGGGGGAAGGAGAGGGCAGGGGGGCGGGGGAGTGAATGGTGGTGGTGGCTTGTTGCTCTCTGAGGAGCAGGAAGCGCAGGAGGTTGAGCGCTGCAGTGAGGGCATCTGAGTGATCCGGCAGGCGGAAGGCGATGGGCGGCGAGGGTTGTTTAGCAGTGGGGGAGCGGGCATGAGTAGCGATGGCGGCACGGAGGGTTGAAGCTGAGGGGTCCAGGAGAACGTCTAGTAGGGAGAGGATGGCTGGAGAGGCGAAGGTGGGGAGAGGGGGAGGGGAGAGGGGGTGGTGGAGGGGGGAGCTTGTGGGTGCTTCTGAAGGCGGTGAAACTGGGGCTGACGTGGACGGTGGGGGGGCTGACGTGGATGGTGCAGCAGAGTGCAGCAAGCGAGGCCATGCTAGGTCCACTTCGTCCTTGGCGAATGACACGAGGAGAGCGACCTGCGGGGGATGGGAGGGGGAGGGGAGAAAGAAAGGGGAGAGGACATGGGTGAGGGAAGAAAATAGGTGAGATGAGAAGTGAGAAAAGGAAGGCGAAGAGGAGTGGGGAAGTGCAGGAACGGGAGCGTGAGAGGACGTGGAAGGGAAACGGGGTAGAAAAATGTAAATCAAAAAGGGGAAAAAGAAGAACGAGGTGCCCCTGCCATGCCTGAATGGGGGCTTAAATGACAAACCCAATGGTAGGACCGTGCATCTCGCACGCAATGCACGACGGACCGCACTGCACCGCACTCACCAGCATGCTCTCTTCTCTGTATTCCACAATCAGCCTCTTAACGCACTCCAGGCGCTCCTTATCTGTCGTCGCCGCCCGCAGCACTGCCAGCATGGCGCGGTGTGCCGCCCGGCGCAGCGCAGATGAGCCGATCGCTGACATCATCACGCTGGCCAATGACGACGCGACACGTGTCACCGTTTCTACGGCAGTGGAGTCGTTACTGCCAGAGAATTGGTGTTTGTCAGTCAGTGAGTGCGGTTGAGCGTGAGAGTCCAAGGGAGAAGAGGGAGAGTGCGAGGGAGGGCATGAGGAGGTGTAAGCATCCAGAGTGGCATGAACCAATCGTAATCCAGCAACTCTGTTCAACACAACGTCCCCCACTCCTAATGTTCTCCCACCACCACCACCAGCAACACCAGCACCAGCTGGTGAGCCAGCAACAAGGAGGCAAGGAGCAAAGCGGAGAAGTGCGATGTGGGTGGCACGGTCGACAGAGAGGGTGCTTCTGCTGCTGCCGCTGCTTCTGGTGCCGCTGCTGCTGGTGCAAGGGCCGGAGGCCTGGAGAAGCGCCCAAAGCAGCAGCATGGCTACTCCCTCCCTCACCTCCCCTTTCACCGCATTCAACCACTCTGCGTCTCTCCTCTTCTTCTCTTTTCTGCTTTCTCTACCACCCTCCCCCTCCTCTTCCTCCTCTTATTCTTCCTCCTCTTCCCCTCCCTCCTCATCTGGCCTCAGAAGAGCCTTCACCGCTCCTAGCCAAGCATTGCCGCCCAAATCCTCAGCCATACCACGTGAAGGTGGGACGAGGAGTGGCAGACAGTGAGAGAGAGAAGGGCCACGGAGGGGAGGAGAGAGGGCGCCTTGGCACTGGCAGCACCACCTGTTGTGCTCTCAGCACCACCGATCGAGCCTGCTCTGATGCTGCTGCTGCTGCTGCTGCTGCTGCTGCTGCTGCTGCTGCTGATGCCTGTGCCCGTTCCCGTGCCTGTGCCTGTGCCTGCGCCCCTGCTTCTATCTGTGTCCGCAGCTGCTCTCTCCGCAAGGTGTGGGTTGAGAGGCCACAAGGAGCCAAGGCGGCAGTTCAGGGACGCAAGAGCGCTGGCTACTAGGGGGATGAGGGCGAGGAGGGGCGTGGGGGGCTCAGCTCCCATCGAGCCCAGGGGAAGGGCGTGGGGGGCGTGGGCAGGTTAAACGAGAGCAGAGGAATGGGGAGGGTGGGAGGGGAGGATGGAGAGGAGGAAGGCGGAGCAGTGGGAGAGAGAGAGGAGCAGCAGCAGCGTGGCTGTCTGGGCTGCCAGCAGAATCTGGGGGGAGGCTTGAGGTTGAGGGTGAGAGGAGGTTTCAGTGCGAGGGGAGATGACAGGCTGTGTTGCTGCTTGTGGGACGGGTGGGACTATAGCCCGTGTGACTGCAGTGAGAACGAGGTGCATGCAGCGGTGGCACACCAGCCATGCTGCCTCTGTGGTGCTGCTGGGAGTTTGAAGGAGGTCTGGGATGATAGAGCGGGTGCCGGGAGGGAAGGGGGGAGTGCTGGTGGGGGCAGGACCAGGTGGAGTGGGAGCAGATACGAAAGGGGTGGGAGCAGGTGCGGTGGGGTTGGGAGGTGGGATGGCGGGAGATACGTGAGGTGAGGGTGGGATCATGGAGAGAGTGCCGGGAGGGAAGGGAGGGATGGAGGGAGCATCTGCTGCGATATGAGGAGTGGCTTGCACAGGTAGTGTGATGGCAGGAGTGATGTGAGATGGTGGTGGAATTATGGAGCGATTGCCGGGAGGGAAGGGAGGGACGGAGGGAGCAGGCGGTGTGATATGAGGAGTGGCTTGCATGGGTGGTGTGATGGAAGGGGTGGGGTGCGGTGGTGGTGGTGCGAAGGGGCTGGGAGGAGGGGGAGGAAGGAAGAGCTCGGCCGAAAGAGGGGAGAGCGAGGGGAGAGAAGGAGTGGATTTGGGAGTTTGAGAGCTGGTGGTGCAGGGAGCAAGGGGTGTGTGTGTGTGGGGCGGTGGCCGTGGTGGTGGTGCGGGCAGCGCTGTTTGGAGAGATGGCAGCACGGCATGGTGTGAGGCCCGCTGGGCGAGGTGCAGGAGGAGCGGCGCCAAGTCGATGAAGAAGCGATGGCGCTGCCGGGGGATGCGGGGCAGAGCTGCGAGGAAAGGGTGGGGTGGGGGGGGAGGGGGTGGAGGGGGGAGCAGTGTGTTTCAGCGTGGGCAAGAGGTGCAGGAGGAGCGGCGCCAAGTCGATGAAGAACCGTTGGCGCTGGCGGGGTATGCGGGGGGGTAGAGCTGGGGGAGGGGAAGTGGTGGATAAGAGGGGGGGGGGGGGGTGGGGTGGGGTAGGTGAGGGGTGCAGGTGAATAGGTAGGAGCTGGAGAGTGGTGGAAGCAAAGGCAGGGCTGAAGCAACACGGAGTTGGCATGCGTTGGTACCATTTTTAAGATCTTTCCGGAAGTGGCTTCATCTATGCAATGCAATGCAATGCAGCCCCTGCCATGCTTTTCTAAGGAGCCTACGCATCCCCACAACAACTACAGGTATGCAGCCCGGTCAAGAGGGCTAGCTGGGTCCCAAGCGACGCCAGATCGCTGCTCCAACGCTCCTCTTCCTTCCCTCCCCCCTCCTCCCCTTTCCCCCCTTCTCCCTCTCCCTCCCACTCCCCCACCAGTGCAGCCCGCCTCAAGGCCCCAGACAGCCCCTCCACGAGAGCAGCATGCACCTCGCGGGTGTCGCGTGCCCCAGATGCCACCTCCCCCACTGCCCGGCATGCTAGTGCGCAGCAGCGAGGGGAGTCGTCCGCTGGTGCAGGTGGTATGTGGGATGGCGAGGAGGAGGGAGAGGAAGGATGGGAGGAGGGAGGGAAGGAGGAGAAGTGGAGGAGGGAGGGGAGGGAGGAGGGAAGAGGCGAGGATAGGAAGTGGAGGATTTCCCACAAGGCACGATCGATGAGGAGTGATGCCTGGCACGGGGGGAGAGGAAAAGAGGAAGGGCGGGGAAAAGGGGAGGAGGATTGTGGGTAATTGGGAACTGATGAAGGTGATGTGTGGCAAGGTGAGCGACATGGTGGGTGGCAGGGTGGGTGGCAGGGTGGGTGGCATGGTGGGTGGGTGGCATGGTGGGTGGCAAGGTGGGCGGCATGGTGGGCGGCATGGTGGGCGGCATAGATGCCCCATGAGGTGCGGCAGAGTGGGAGAGATGGCTGATGGACGAAAGGGGGGTGTGGATTGGGGGAGGAATTGAAGGGTCCTCTCGAAAAGAGGAAAGTGGGGTAGGTTGGATAGGGGGATGGGTTGGGAAGAAAGGGATGAGAGGAGGGGGAGTGTGTGAGGGAGGCGAGCAAAGGAGTGTCGTTGGCGAAGGGTGTGCAATGAAAGGGGGTAAATGACAACGGGAGCGGGTTCAATGGGAAGTGATGACAGAGATGGGGTGGGATGGGTTGGTTAGGGTGCGGTGGGGCAGAGAGGGACGGGGTGGAATGGGTGGGGGCACGATGACTGACAGGGTATGTTGCTGAGGGGTACAGGGATGGATGGAGGAGGGAGAGGTGCATGGGGCATGTCAATAGGTTGATTGGGATGCTAAAAACAAGGAGGTGAGGAAGACGCTTCAGTTTCCGCATGACAAGGAAATTCAGGTGATGCTATGAGAGTGTTACATGCATGAGTGGATGACCATTATCCTCACCCCACCTCCCCTCGTCACTCCACTCCACCTCCCCCTCACCTCCCCTCCTCACATCTCATCCCGCCCTACCTTGTGACTTGACAGCAGCAGCTGCAGCACGTGCCACATGGCGCGCTCCCGACTCTGCTCTCGAGCTGAATAGCCCTCTCTTTCCGAGTCTTCTCCAACAGCGTCCGCAGCGCCATTCACGGCAGAGCGAGCCGCAGGAGGCCCGAATTCTACTGCGTCTCCTTTTTCTGCCGTCGGTTTCCGCGAACTTGCGCATCCCGCGCTACATCCCTCCTCCAGCAGCCGCCTCAGCTGTGCTGACGTGGTCTCGATCTCCTCGAGTGATGTGTCCGGCAGCTGACACAGCCGCTCCGTGCGAGCGCGGACCCTGTCTTCCCACGTGGACATTCACAATTGGCTGATCGCCAGACGGTCTTCAACAAATCGAAGAAATAATTTCAAATAAGACAAGGGAGGCTGCCCATGTGACACTGTACGTACAATTTCGAGGGGCGTCGCTATGCTCGCTACAGTCACTAAGGACGCGGTAAAAGTAGACGATCAATCATGATTTGCGATCGGTGTGCGGATTGGTTACCCTGTTTACAGACTTGTAACCATGCTACAGTAAGGTTCTTGCCGATATTTTGTGCACAGTTAGTGAATGCGACTGATCACTGATCAGTCTAAAACTTTCCGACACATCAATGCGCAGATGATGTCCACGAACCGAGCACAACAGGCACGATTGATGCTGATGCTTGTGAAGTGATGAGATTTCGCAGAGCGGGTAAACGAAGTCACAGGTTGGTTGCCCTGTGGGCTGCGAATGTCGCAGTTGTTGTTGGGCGAAGGGGGCTTTTCTTTGACGGAGTCGCAGGCAAAACCAAAATCTTGATTCTGGAACATCCAACCCATCACGCAGGGGCGATCGTTACAACCATGTGGGCGCATCGTTTCGCCAATCGATCCGCCCAATCGATAATGCGGATCGATATACAAGCGCGATCCTGCGATCTTCTCACTTTTACCGCGTCCTAAACATGCACAGGACGAGGACGGGTCCCAGGGTTACGACGCTCTTACAACAGACTCAGCGTTTTGCGAATGAACGAGTGTCGCTGCGCCGGTTAGCGCGTGCGCTGAGAGGCCGTTGTACAACCGAGAGTTGAATTCAACGAGAGTGCCACGGTAGATAGAACGGCGAGTGAGTGGAATAAATGGTCTACAGAGATCACTATAGTTGTTCCACAAACACCATTTAAGGAAACTAAAGCAAGCTACAATCCAATTGGATACACCTAACCCTCGCCAATTTCGAAAACTCGACTTTTGGAATCAGAAAGCACCCTACACGTTTTTTTTATTTGATCCATCAGACCTCCTACTGGATCTCGAGCCTTTGTTCGCGATTCTTCCGCGGACAAGCTGTCCTCCCGTGCTGTTCCCTGCGTCTTCCTTGGCTTCCCCCCTGACGCGCCTGGGTGGCAGTTTTACCACCCCACCTCGCGTCGTGTTCTGTCCTCTCATGACGTCATGTTTGACGAGTCGGTATCTTACTACCGTCTCTTTCCCTACCGCACTGCCCCTCTCCCCCCCCCGCCGCTCTTCCTAGCACCAGGTGCTCCTCCGGTAGACCCCCTCCCCCCTCAGGGTCCTGCCCCCTCAGGTGTGTCCCAGGTAGACCTTGTCGAGCCTGTCGAGGTAGCTGTCGACTCTGGTGCTGCTAGGGGTGCTGAGCCTGCGGGTGCGGGGCCTCGGGGTGCTGAGCCTGGGGTTACTGAGTCTGAGGGTGCGGAGCCTGGGGGTGCTGAGCCTGAGGGTGCGGAGCCTGGGGGTGCTGAGCCTGAGCGTGTGGAGCCTGGGGGTGCTGAGCCTGGGGGTGCTGAGTCTGGGGGTGCTGAGCCTGGGGGTGCTGAGCCTGGGGGTGCTGAGCCTGAGCGTGCTGAGTCTGGAGGTCCTCCGGGTGTCTTGTCACGGCGGGAGTCCCTCTCTCCACAGTAGCTGCGCGAGTGGTACGCTCGGCGCTGTAGCCGTGCTGCTGGAGCCGCTCGTCCCGGAGGTGCTCGTACTGGAGGTACTGGAGCTGCTGGAGCTGGAGCTGCTGGAGGTACTGCTAGTGCTGGAGCTGCTGGAGGTGCTGGAGCCGCTAGTCCCGGAGGTGCTCGTACTGGAGGTACTGGAGCTGCTGGAGTTGGAGCTGCTGGAGGTACTGCTGGTGCTAGAGCTGCTGGAGGTGCTGGAGCCGCTGGTTCCGGAGGTGCTCGTACTGGAGGTACTGGAGCTGCTGGAGTTGGAGCTGCTGGAGGTACTGCTGGTGCTGGAGCTGCTTGAGATGCTGGAGCCGCTGGTCCCGGAGGTGCTCGTACTGTAGGTACTGGAGCTGCTGGAGCTGGTGGTGCTGCAGGAGTTGGAGCTGTTGCTGCTGGAGGTGCTGCTGGTGCTGGAGCTGGTGGTGCTGAGGGAGTTGGAGCTGGAGACCCTGGCGCTGGGGGTACTGGTGCTGTCTCTGCTGGTTCAGGAGGCGCTGCGCGGCCGCGGCCATACTTCGTTCCCCTCCTTCAGCAGGTTCTTGGTCTCCCGCCTTCTACAAGTCCTACTCCTCCGTTACTGTGTCCACAGCCTGTCCAGTCGCAGTCGCAGTTACAGCCAGCCTCTCCACTGCCTGGTCCTTCTCCTGACTCTGGGCCGACTAGGGGTCTTACGGAGCGCCGTGAGCCTAAGTCTCGTCCTGTGTCGCCTGAGTCTCGTCCTGAGTCGCATGAGTCTCGTCCTGCGTCGCGTGTTCGCGCTGTTCGCACTGGTCGTCGTGTTCCGCGTCAGCATCCTCCTGCTTTCCCACGCACGCACCAGATGGCACTTCGTCCTTCCACTGCTCCACAGCGTGTCCCTCTGCCGTCTCCTCCTGCGTCCTCTCTTCCTGCAGTTGCTGACCCGCCGTCAGACCTTGCTCGTGCTGCCAACCCTACTGTCACGCGTCTTCTCGCTACTGTTGTCACTGACCCTTCGTTTGAGTACACTGCTGCGTCTGCCCTAGTTGCTGAGCTTGTTGACTTTGCTGCCGCCTGTCGTCTAGACTACGCTGCTAGTCTTGTTGCTGAGTCTGAGTCTGTCTGTCCTCCGTCCGTCGGGGGTGAGTGTGCTCTTGGCACGGACGTCCTTGAGGACAGGCAGGAGGACTTTGAGTGCTTTGCAGCTGCTGTACCTCATCTCGTGTCCATGCTGATTGCACCTGAGGGAGACCCGGATGCACCAGACATCCCGACCCTGCGCTCCTACGCAGAGGCGATAGAGGGTCCCTACTCCTCTCAGTGGCAGACAGCCATGGATGCAGAGATGGCATCCTGGAAGTCCACAGGCACTTATGTTGACGAGGTTCCCCCACCTGGGGCGAACATCGTCAGTGGCATGTGGATTTTCAGGGTGAAGCGGCCGCCGGGTTCTCCGCCTGTCTTCAAGGCGCGTTACGTTGCACGTGGCTTCAGTCAGCGACAGGGAGTTGTCTTCTTCCATACCTTCTCCCCCACCCCGAAGTTGACCACTCTTCGGGTTCTGCTGCACGTCGCCGCTCAGCGTGACTACAAGCTTCACTCTCTTGACTTCAGCACTGCTTTCCTACAGGGCAGCCTGCACGAGGAGATCTGGCTGCGCCGCCCACCGGGCTTCACTGGGTCGTTTCCTGCTGGTACCCAGTGGAGCCTCCGGCGGCCAGTCTACGGTCTCCGCCAGGCGCCCCGTGAGTGGCACGACACACTGAGGACGACTCTTGCGGCTCTTGGGTTTGCACCTTCTACTGCTGACCCGACGCTGTATCTACGCACCGACACTTCTCTGCCGCCGTTCTACATCCTCGTGTACGTCGACGACTTGGTCTAAGCCACTGCTGACACTGAGGGACTCGCCCACGTGAAGTCGGAGCTGCAGAAGAGACACACGTGCACAGACCTGGGTGAGCTGCACAGCTATCTTGGCTTGCAGATCACCCGGGACAGAGCACAGCGCACCATTACCTTGACTCAGTCACACATGGTGCAGCAGGTCCTTCAGCGCTTCGGCTTCGAGTACTCCTCGCCACAGGCCACTCCTCTGCCTACCGGTCACTCGCTCTCAGCTCTGCCTTCGGATGAGTCCGTAGAGCCGAGTGGCCCATATCCAGAGCTTGTGGGCTGCCTCATGTACCTGATGACCTGCACTCGACCTGACCTCGCTTACCCTCTTAGCATCCTGGCTCGCTACGTTGCGCCCGGGAGACACCGACCAGAGCACTGGAAGGCCGCTAAGAGGGTGATGCGCTACTTGTGCAGTACATCGGGCATGGGGCTCGTGCTTGGAGGACGGGCTCGAGTTGTCCTCACTGGTCACGCAGACGCTTCTTGGGTTGACGACTTGGCTACGTAGCGGTCGTCACAGGGTTACACCTTCAGCCTTGGCTCCGGCTCTGTTTCGTGGCGGTCTACCCGCTCGTCTTCTGTTCTCAACTCCAATTGTGAGGCTGAGATCTACGCAGGGGCCATGGCTGCACAGGAGTTACGCTGGCTCACCTACCTGCTGACCGACTTGGGCGAGCCGCCTCGTTCTCCTCCAGTTCTGTACGTCGACAACAAGGCCATGATTGCCTTGTGTCAGGAGCACAGACTGGAGCACAGAACGAAGCACATCGCTCTGCGCTACTTCCTTGCTCGAGAGTTGCAGCAGCGTGGTCAGCTTCGTCTTGTTTACGTGGCCTCTCAGGCCAACACAGCTGATGTCTTCACCAAGGCACTTCAACCTTGTGATCATCAGCGTTTCTGTACTGTTCTAGGCCTTGTGCCTACTTGGCCTCACTTGCTCACTTCTTGACTTTGCTTGTACTGTGATTTATATACTTATACCTGCATGCTTTCACTTGCTAGGTTTGATCACTGTACTGCTTGTTCTGCTTTATATAACTCTGCATGTGAACTGGCCTTGTGGCCATTTGCTTGTGCTCAGAATGCGTGGTGACGTTGTGATCCACCCTGAGCTTGACCTTGTCTCGTTCACTTGCTTGTCCCCCACTTTGCCTATGGGGGTATGCATATATGCTCTAGGCTGTAGTGGGGCACTCCTTATGGGGTACAGCCCAAATTAGGTTTTGCCTATACAAACCTTGTACTGCTCTCTTTCTAGTCATTCTTTCCTTCACATTTCCGACACTCCTGAATTGTGGAGGTATAAAATGAGCTCCAAACGTAGTTTTCGGAAAACTTTTAGTTAGGCAGAACAGAGCGATTGGGCGAGTTTTCATTGATATTTTGAGTCGAATCGCCCCCTCTCATAAAGAGTCCGCGACATTACACTTTGTAATAATGAAAACATTACTTACCAGCCTTTGCGGATCAGGTGGGCAGGGGTGTTTTCTCTGGATGCGCTTTGGCGTTGAAATTGGG